AGAGTAACTACACCACTAAAACAAAAGGGGGAATCCATAACATTTTGTAAAGGAATGTCATTATTTTTCTGCCTTTCTCTTTTCCTGTTTTCCTTTGATTATTTCACTAATCTGTTATGATAAATATGTAGGTAAGCATAGAATTGTAGATATTTAATTTCATGATGACATTGGAAAATGTGTACCAGTTGTTTGACACATGACGCTTCTGGTCTATATGAATAATTATATATGTATGTGGTTCATACAGACACCCTTTTATTTTTTACACTCTGCCTTTTCACTCTCTCCAGGAACATCGTCAGAAGCAAGGGAAGGTAAAGAAGGTCAGGGAGGAGCTAAGAGCGCACCTTCAGAACCTTCCAGATATCTCAAAACTGCCAAATATTAGAACGGGGGGACTGGCTCCTCTGCCTTCTGCGGGCGACCTCTTTACATGATCTCGTGGACTGTAGGGTTATAATTTTTTTTTTGTCACTTGTTATTTTGTGATACCTAAATGCCCAGAACTATTAAATAGTTCTGATGGACAATACTAGCATGAAGTATAGATATTCTTATTGTTATGTGAATATAAAATGTGAGGTTTGAATGATGGGTATTATGATGTACAAGTCCTTCTGAAAAGTGGATTATGCATGCATTTTTTTTCAATTTTCAAAAAGATTTTGTATTTGTGCCAATAGAACACATGTCTGTTTATTTTCATAATCTTATAATCAGGTTTCTTTTTCTTTTAAATTTAATTAAATGTAAATTATCTTTGATAGCATATCATAGTAGTACATAGTAGATGGCCTCCTAACAAGAGGTCTGCAAGTTGTCCTATTAGTTTTCAGAAAAAAACTTTCAGTTAGATAAAACATGTTGTATTCTATGACTTGATATATATGGCTACAACCATTCAGAAGTGAGCAGCTTTTTTGAGTGTCTTGCTAACTTTGTATCATGCATTTTTTACTTTTCTTATAGTTTTATTCAGACTCCTCAGGACACTTGTGGTCTTATGTGGGTGCTTGTTGAATGACAAGGTCACACAGAGAATTGTTACTTCGATGCAAATGTTCGAGTCACTGAAGGTCACTACTCTTTTGTGAGATGCACTTCCTGCAGTGAAGGTTGATACATATTTTATATGTATACAGATATTTCATTATTCAGTGTAGATAGATAAAGGAGAAGGAAAAAAATGGAAAGATTTTAAATTAAGTTAAATGGTTATTACAAAATGAATATGAAACACATCCTGGCAAAAGAGATGTGCCATCTTGAAGATGTGTTAGAGTATACATAAAATTTCCTGTTTTGCCTTAATGCCCTTGATAATAATGATGATAATTTTATTGTATTATGGCTTCCCAAGTTTTTGTTTGATAGTAAGTAGTCAGTCAGATTTCTCTCATTTTTGTTGTCAATTAGATACTTATGTTTGATTCATGCAGTTCCATTCATTATGTTTTTTGTGTTTCTTCTCCAGATCTTACTTGAAAATTGAAAATGCCAAGAAGCTGTGACAATCAGTTATTGATGAAAATGTTTGATTTAAAAAGAGAAAAATGAAATGGTTGCTCTATCTATTGAGCAGTATTTTCTATTTCTTTGTCTCATGAGTAAATCATGCCTAATGTGATAGATGTAGATATCATATGCATTTGTGTGTTGCCCGATTATGTCAAATAGTATGAAGTGGTTGAGGACATTACATTTAATGTCACATCCTGTGATAATAGTGCAAATAATTCTTCACAGAGTCAGAGTCTAGTGGAGCCTTTTTTTCCATATTTTTTTGGATTAAAGGCAAATCAGATGGTACATTACCGCTGAGTGTTGTCTACAGTTGGAACTCTTTTCTTTTTCTGTCCCAGGGATTTATATCTTGTCATACACTCTCACTCTTTCCAAAGCACAGATATTTGTCACTTGAAACGACTGCACCTGCATAAAGAGTTGGAAAATTGACGTAAAACAAAATCAAATGGAGAAAAAACATCAGCCTTTTATTATCACAAAGCCATTCAACAGATTTTTCTCAAGAATAATAGATCTTGCGTCATGCCAAACAAAAGGAGATTTTTCTTTGCTTGTTACTATTTTTTTATTGTATTATGTGATGATCGGCCACCATTCTATTCCCTTGATTGCTGAATGTTGTCAAGTGTAACATTGTTGTGTTTTGTTTTTGTTGTAATCAAGGTTACTCATTTATGTAAGGAATCACTCATCTTTTTGTTGGTCTCGCCTACTCACAAGAATGTTTGATAAGTTGTGAAGGAGTTTCAAGTACTTTTGTTTTTATTGTTATAATGACTGTTTAGGTCTTTTGAATTCATAGAAGATATGAACAGTAGGAATGACTTAGTTTCCCCAAAATGTCAGTAATGTGTATGAAATGACTTTGTTGGGAAGCAATTTTAATGTTTATAATAAGCAACAAGAATGTACATAGAATCTGGAATCTAATATTTATTGCAGATTTTTATAATTAAATTTTTGATTTACC